AAGTGACCTGTTCCCCTCCACCCTTCAAAGAACTGTAAGCAGGATGTTAAATCTGACTCTAGTTTTCATCAGAGGCTCCAAATGCTGAGAACAAAATAGGTGTCAGATACTCCTCCACTCTCAGCTGCAGGGCTGAACTGCACAACTCCAAGCTCAGATCTCACTAGGAGGCGAAGAGGCCAACTGGAAAGAGGAATGAGAATGCTGTGGCGCTTCCTACCACAAGCCAAGCTCAGAGAATGGCCGAAACAGAACCACTTGGAGAGCGAGTCGTGAGACCCTAGAACTTGGAGCATGAAGGGACGAGTACCTGATTCATACTTTAAAAGCGTAAAGACTGGCGCAGCCAGCCTGGTGGGAGAGCAGAGACGTGGTTGCACCGGGCACTGTGTGCATACCAGATTTTGAAAGGATAAGGAGGCCAGTGACCACAAGCCATACAGATCTCGTGGAAGGGAACTGGATATGGGTGCATTTAAAAGAGGCCTTGTCCCAGAGGCCTACCTGGAGAGTAGCAGTGATCTCCAAGGCAGTAGCCATTTAACTACAACCAGCATGCCAAGGGATCAGAAGCCACTGTTGCTAGCAAAAAGACAGAATGAGAGAGAAGACAAGAAGACATCAACTGCACCCACTTCCCCAGAGCAGACACTTGAACACTACTAGCTGGATGAGGGCAGAGACTGAGTTGAATGAGAGTTCATAATCTTAATAAATAGACCAGACTGGACTTGATAATCATCAGACAGCGACTGGAAAACCTATGAATCTGCATGAGGTTTCATCCAGGGCTGGGGTGGGAGGCAAGGAACAATCCACAGGGTGACCTTACTGGACAGGGGTGAGAAAGGAGAAAGTTGCTTTCTGCTCCTATCCTAGAAAGCTCAGCTTGTTTGATAACCCAGAAGACAGAGTAGTGTCACCCGTTTAAAGCATTTAACAGTGTCTGGCATAGTATGTACCTAATCAATATTAGCTATTTTTATTATTAACATTTAGTAGTAATAAAAAGTATCTTACTTTCTACTTTTAGAAGTATTACAGCAATAATAGAGGTGACAGTTAATCGTGACCATAAAAAATATTACTGGTGTATTGACCTGCCCTGGTATCTGCTGAGTAGTATCTGGTTCAGTGGTTTCAACTTGCTGTGTACCCCAAAAGTATCTGTGGAGTTTGAAAAAACAACAGATTTCTATGTCTGAAGTCAGACCTACAGAACCAGAACCTCTGAGGCGGGAAACCAGACAAGCGTTATTTTGAAAAAGCTCCTCCAGTGATTCTGTTGTGAAACCAGGATTGATTCTAATCTTCTGTTCTTACTGGGGCTGTACAGAAAAAAATTTAAAATAACACAAATCATCTAAATTAAATAACTAAATAATTGATTAACACAAACGAAGTGAATTCACTCATCAAATATTTACTGAGCACTTCCTCTGGGCCAGGCTCAGTATTAGGCATGGGGACTCGACTCTGCCCTGAGAGCGCTCTCAGCCTACAGGTGCGTGAATTATTTAGGTGTGGCTACTCTCAGCTTATATTAGACACCAAGAAGAACGTGACAAAGACCTATACAAAGACTCACTTGCATAATACCATGGCATACAAGGACTCTCCCACGTGAATCAGCCAGGCAAGCCAATACCTAGAACAAAAAAAGTCAGTCTAGTTGAAGGCGGTGGTTACTTGCTGATGAAATCTAACACTGAAATCTCAAAAAGAAAGGTGCCCTAATGTGAATTAGCTCCCATGCCCACATCCCGTTTCTGCAGCTCTCCTTACCCTTTACGCATGAGGGTGTGATGGTGGTCCACCAGGTACTGAGTTAAGGGGCCCAGGGGACCCAGGCTCTGATAGGGGATACTCTGAGGCCAGAAGACAACCCACTGAAAGAGAACCAGAGGCACAGAATACCTGTTAGGGCATTTAAAAGATCACCAAGTTTGTGCTTTTGAGAGAGATTATGAAATAATCCTAACTCTGTAAAACCATCCACACTCAGTTCAGTAAGTGACTGCAGACCAAAGGAACTCTGAACAATGTCATCTGGAACCCTGCTCTTGACTTCTATTTCTTAAAAGCTACTCTAGTGGGAGATTCACGCTGAGGAAACCATGTGGTTATTACTCAGTGCCCAGGGGGGATGGCTCCAATTCTTGATGAAGTCTACCAAGAACATTATAAAAGTTATTAACAAGTTTTAAGAGTTTATTTACCTGAGATAGCTTCTTTGCTGCGTAAACTATGACTTGAGCCAAACCCCTGCTTAATTTAGAATCCCTTTCTCTTTTTCTTCTTTCACGGTTCCTGCGTGTTGCAAGGAGTTTGCAATTGGGTACTAACCTAAAGCTTCATGGTTAGAACCCACCTACTAGAACCGCAGAAGAAAGGCCTGGTGATCTGCTTCTGTAAAGATTTCAGCCAAGGAAACCCTATGGAACAGTTCTACTCTGCAACACATGGGTTTGCCATAAGTCATAACTGACTCCGCGGCAACAGGTTTGGGGTTTTTGTTTTCTCTTCTTTCACTTTTTCTATCCCTAAACTGGGAATGTTCCACTGTGCACAGCTGGAAGATAATTGAGATGGGTTTTGTGAAGTGCTGATGAAGACCCCTGGAGGGGAAGTGGTTAAGAGCTAGGCTGATAACCAAAAGGTCAGCAGTTCGAATCCACCAGCTGCTCCCTGGAAACCCTAAAGCTCTGTGTTGTAACTTCTGCCACCTTAGCAGAATAACAAAGTACCAACAGTTCCAAAATTTATTATGCCATTCAGATGTCAACCTTGAGCAATACTACCTCTCCCACAGTTTCACATCCACAATTTAAATAAAACGTAAAATATCACTGCATCCTTCCAAACCATAGGAATGGAAGGAGTAGCCAGCTCCACAATGTCCCAATTTGAAGTCCCACAAAGCCTTCTTCCATGTATATTCTAACTAGTCAGAGACCCAGAATCACAGAACAGAAAGGCATCTTTGAAATTTTTCAGTTCAACGCCTCCATTTTACATATGGGGAAACCAAGACAAAGACGGGCAGATGTGACGCCAACACACAGAACAGTGTGGGCATAACAGATACATTTCAAAGCCCCAATCTTCAGGATCTCCTGGGCAATATCTAAATAGCCTTGCCTTCCTTCATCATTATCGCAACGTCATCCCCAGCCGACTTTTACAGATGTCTTTCCCATTATCCTTCCAGCGAACTCTTTCTTAGCCAGACAGAACTTGCTCTTACCCTCGGTAGAGAGCTTCTGTCTTCTTGTTTCCACATCGATGTCATAGGTTATAGCCTATCCCTTCTAATCAACTAAACCTTACTCATTCTTTAGGTTTATCCT